GAATTAGTTAGCAACATACTAAAACAAGCTTTAACTTCGAATAGCATACCGTTCAAACATGCGTACTATTATATGTAAGGCCCATTTCTTTACTTTCCACCATGGAAATTCTGGTTTTTCCTCATCATCAATATGTGAGCAGTCTGGTATTGGCCTTTCAGCGATTTGCCGGCAAATTTCCATCCACAGCGAAAACGTTTCTTTTGTTATAAGATCCAATGGCAGTGTGTACTGGGTTAAGGCGTAGTAAATTTTTAAAATTTGCTTTTGAAGCAACATCGATTGTTCCGATTGATCATTCATTAAGTTAACCATCAGTTGGTAAATCATTGGAAGAAGAAGATTCATTGCTTCATTTAGAGGAACACGCTCTTCTGAGCGCTTGTATTCATACGTCTTTACTAATTGATACATAGTCAGGAGCGCGCCATTCCATCCATTGACATCTAAATAGTTTAAACATGTTTTATTGTACTAAATATACTAGTCATATTATTACAAATTAAGTGTACTCCTGTAGATGTGTATGGTACAGTAATTTAAAATAATTTTACCTGGATTTTGTAGATAAATGCTGATGTTGTCCACTACTTGTGGCCAGCGCCCAGGAAAATCACTTCTGATAATGTGATTTACGCATACTGCTAGCTGAACCCTAAAAATAACACAATTGTTGACAACAGACATCAAAGGAGATTGCAAATTGAAACAAACTTTATTATATCTGGAGCATGTACAATCGCATCCACAATTGATCCGCGTATCATAGCACGATCTTGTTCATGAATTGAGAAAGGTATTGGCTCGCCTGCTTTGGTCTCATGATCAGACCAACTGTTCGTAATTAGATTTTTTAGATAAATCGCCCCTGCTTGACGAACTGGTTGATCAACATTGCTTTGCATAACAATTTGTAATATTGTTGGAACAAATCCAATTATCTTGTGAATCTGTGGAAAAGTGCATTGGAATAAAATTAATATAAACATGCTAAAAGACATGTGTATGAATAGTTGTACATAATCTAAAATTATAAACATTGGGAACGTATTAAAAAAGTTATGTGTATTCCTCGTGGACTGAGAATACAGAGCCCTCGTTGCAAATTCTCAGCACAAGCGATTATTTTGAATTTTGTAGAATGGTACCGGGCGGGTGACGATGTTTTTGCTGTTTTGACCGTATACAACAAAGTTTTAGGGTATTCGGTTAAGTGACAGCCTTATCAGGAGGGGGTTCTAGCTAAAAACACTAATACTAAAATTTCTAAGGAACATATCAGACCCAAATAGTTATAAAAAATTGAGAAAAATAAGTTTGGCGCTGGTTTTTAAGTTAATGCATTCAAATAATTTTAATTTAAAGCGAATCAGAGTACACAGACGAATATTTAGGTCCAGTTAGCATTATTAAACTCAAAACACAAAAGTGCCAAATTTCGCTATGGGGCTGTTGGAACGCCAAATCATGCTCTGGAATTCAGGCATATGCATATCAGGAATAAATCGTCTGGCATCATCTCAATGCCACATACATACGTCATGCCTCATTTTGCTTTCGATACAATATTTGTCTTACTCAAGGGACCAACGATTCCCAAAAGTATCTAGCTTAAGAAAACTCTTAATCCCATTGAATCACTGCAATTACTTTTGAATCACCANCTCACCCATACCCGCCGCCTTGAAATATTTTCCAAACACGTCAAGGCTTCATGCATTAATAGCACTATTAATAACAATTCTAAGATATCGTCCAAAAACATCCAGAATATTTATTTAAAACTTATAAAAATCACGTATGTATGTATATTTATGAAATTCAGTGCTACTTTCACGATAAACAAGAGAGTGTTGTCAAAGCGTTTATTGTGGCATCTCTTTTGCGTTTTTCGCTTTTCTGACAAAGTTACAAATGTCACGCAAAGCGACAAAGTTTTATCTGGCATCAGCTTTAAAAATTTTAAAACAAATATTAAAGATTCAATTTTATTAAGGGTATCTATTTTTGCTAATTGTTCAAGTAAGGTTAAGTTAGTATAGTTTCTTGTATATATCTCCTAGCAGACACATAAAGAATATAAGGATTTATCCCCACCCTACTGGCATCCGCTTTTGACGGGAAAATTGGTTGTCGGCGCGGCAACATTGGTTTGTCAAATTGACATTTGATAAAGAACTGGAAATTTTGATGTCGAGGCTTTAATTACGTGAAAAATAAGCAAAATAATCTTAAATTCTAATCGGTCGAACTTAAACAGCTTATAATTACTCGCAATATTGATAAATATCTGTAGAATTATGTTGACGATCAAATAATTTGGAATTTAAATAGACAAAGCCTATTTTTAGTAAAGAGTGCAAGATTGTAATTGTTTTTATGAATGAAAAGAAAGCAGAAAAAATGGCGCCCGCTGACATGTAAACATGCCCTAAGATAACACATTACGATTTATTTATAAAAAGCCTCAAGTTTCAAGCAAGATATTAGTTTTAAATATAATTTGAACATTTGTTAATAATGATGTCTTGCGCGGGTGAGTACAATCCGTCAGCTGAAGAGCAAAAGCATGAAAAAAATGAAATATGCGAAGATCCCCACGATAGTGGTACTGCTAAAATAATTTCCAATGAACTTCTGCTGGTAGGTGTATGTAGCAGAGTTGAGAATATGGATGAACTGACCTCGCTAGAACGCGAGATTGCCGAAATGCACCATGTGGATCCACCTAAAACTGTGGAGTACCTTGGAGGCGATAACTTAAACTCTAGCAATAGTGATGCCAGTAACCAGGTGTTTTGTAGTGAAAAGGCGTCTCTTCAGAAATCAAAACTGTCAAGCACGCAAATTTTAGATAACATCAATCCTGAAGAAGCCACCAATTTTCCACAAAGTGATCCCGTTAATGAAGGGTCTATTTTACCGGAAGAAAATGAATGTACGGCCTTAGAACATGAAGATTTGATTGCTGTCCTAAAAGGCATTGACGAACACACGAATATTATAAATGTGAAAGTAGAAAAAGACGATGACCAGGACCAGCAATATATCCGGCCGCCATCTATTACAGAAAGTGAGTTGGCTGAAGGAGTAACCATTGAAGGTGAGGGCCAATTTCAAATTATGGAAGTAGTATATGATGAATTAGATGAACATGAGACAATATCAAAAGAAACCGAAGATGCTCGAAATATTCAGGCTTCTTCATCTCAGCGTGTGGTAAATAATGGCGCAAGCGCAATATCACACTTAACGAGTGAAGAAATACGTGCAATGGCCATGGAACAAATTGCCGGTTTGAATGCTCGGGGCGGTGACCGTCAGCGAAAACGCAAGCAAGATATCAAACCCTTGAAAGTGGAAGAAAGCTCCGATTTGGTGAGCTCACTTGGTGCAGATTGGAGTGACGATGACAATGAACTTGCAACGAAAGCTTCATCCGGCTTAGTTAGCTCAAAACAAAGCAATTCTACTTCCGAGATCAAAAATAGAAAAAGTGAACTTGAAAAAGATATAAGCAATCAAGAACGCGAAGGAAAAGAATCAACAAACAAAAACACGGACCTGAATATAGTAAAACTAGAGAAAGTGGAGTCCGATAACTTACATGAAGACACACTTCCGATGGTAGAACCGCTTATAAATGACGAGCCTACTATAAAACCTGTAGTAGGTTTCAAGCGCACACGTATTATAAAACCAAAAATAATATGGGACCCTGACGCACCAGAAACTCAAATTTCATATGCGCAATTCGCACGCAACAGTTCCAAACTAAATTTGGATGCTGAAAGCCCGTCTTCAAAGATAGTATCGCATAAAACATCTGCATCTAAAAATCAACACAACGAGTTGAAAGAAAAGAAATCATCTTTACAACGCCAAAATGATCCTGAAAATAAGCAACATCGGGGATCAGAGCTAAAAGTATGTTCTGGCTCCCCTGCAACAAAGAAAAAGGAAACTAGGTCCTCATCGCCTGCAGGTAACTCTTCAAATCGAAATAAAAATGTCAGTCAAGAAAATACGATGAAAACTCAGTCACCCGTGAAACGGCGATCTCAGACACCTATCATAAATGGAACTGGTAGTGGTGCTGGTTCAAAGAAAAAAAAGTTAAGTGAAATCGACCGTTTAGTAAGCGATGAAGGTGCTGCTAATATGCTACATTCCTTGGAGAGCGAGAGAAGTAAATTAATTGCAGAACAAGGTGTCGATAAGCCACAAAAACATTTAATGCGCAGCCGCGCAGCTACAATTTCAGAAAAGGTATGACTTGTCTGTAACATTTATGTAATTACATGTAATGATTTTTTTGTTAAGATATTGAAGAGAGAATCTACACCAACATCTGGGAAAACAACACCAACATCTGGGAAAACAACACCCACTCCAACCAATAGTGGAGGTACAAGAAACAAGCGTACTTCTAAACAAAAACCATCATCAACTTGGGATTATGTGTATAAACAAAAAGCTAGTGAGGATGCAATGATTATTAGACGACGCTCTAATAGTTCTTATTCGAGCAATGCGTCAGTGCGACGTCTTAGTTTAGATACAGCAATACCGAATGCTCAAAATGTCTCCAAAACAACAGCAACGACAAAAGCTGGGCAACAAAAAATAACACCGACCACGACTACTGGTACAAGCAGTTCGGTAACAAAAACTACCCAAAGGAGTTTGTTAAAAACGTCAAACGAAAATAATAATGCATCTGTTGAAAGTTCTGATGCCAGCATAAGTGCCAAAATATCCGCTGGCAACTCTTTTGAGTTCGCTAAACCTGAATCAAAATCTAACCAAAAAAACAATAGGCGTGTAAAGGGTGTCAGTCATGGTGAAGAATCCTCGACAAATGAAACTAAAAAGCCAACAGTAACACCTGGTACACGAAAAGGCTCCCGTAGCCCAGCCAGCGTCGATGAAAGAGACAAAAACAAGAGCACCGGAGTAAGCGCAAAAGTATCTCCGAAGCAGACGAAAGAGGATTCCCCGGCCGGATCCAATGCTTCAGACGTGGTTGTAAAAAAAGTTGCAAAGGTTGCACAAATAGTGTTCAACACCCAGAAGGCGAAAATTAATTATACATTCACCGCCCAGGTATATTTTATTCTTTTTATTTATTTGAAAATTTACGGACATACCTATTTCCATAATGGACCTAATCTAAGTCGTAATTGAGAAAGCCTTTGGTTAAAAGGAAGCAAAGCTTAGAAAAAATTAAAAATTAGATTTTATCAATTATAAAGTTTTGCTATTTTTTCATACATACATACATATTAGAAGTGGGTCATTAGTAGTATTAGTTACATATTTATGTGAATTATCATGCATTTCAACTTTCTTTCCAGATGTTGAATAAGTTGGTTGATATTTTAGAGAAACTCAGTAAAGATGCAGAATGTAATGCCGTGGTGATCACGACTAACGCTCCTAATTTCTGTCACGGCATCGATTTTACGGATTTAACATTTGGCACATTGGAGAAGCGCAAACTAACAGCAGTATATTTAGCAACGGCGGTTAAGTATGGAAAAAAAATAAAAATAAAGTAACACAAGCAAAAAATGTTTTGAAAACGGAACTTTCTTTAGGAACTATCTAAAGATGTTGGCAACATTCCCAAAGCCATTGGTAGCTGGTGTAAGCGGCAGCAATATTGGATTGGGTGTGACGCAATTACCATTGTTTGACGTAGTAATTGGTAGCGACAAAGGTTCATATGAAACTCCATATGTCAAAATAGGACAAGTCCCCGAAGGATATTGCTTTTGGAATAATTCAACCAAAATCCGTGATAATTATGTAAGCTAGTCAAAATTTTTTGTAATTACATACACATTTCTTATATTACAATATATCACAGAAAACCAAACTTTTTTGGTTGGGAGAGAAATTACATTCAACTGAATCGGCGCTATCTGGATTAGTGCACAAACTTACCGCTTCGNGTACGTACAGTGCCGGTCACTTGAATAGCGTCGTCTTTCGATCCTCAGTATTGATTTTCATTTTATTTATTCATTACATTTTAACGAATTTTCATCAAAATTTCTAACTTTTATAAAAAAAATATTATAAAGTACAAATTTCAAGGGACTAAAACACCATTGATATTTAAAATTTCATTCATATAAAAATAAATATATATGGAAGAAAATACTCAACTCCCGAGGTAAAAAATTGTCAAAAATCAACGCTTGAAATTGGCACGTTATAAAGCTTTTTTGGTGAAAATGTAAAAAAAAAATAAAGTTTGGAAATCTTTTAACAAGGTTATTTTTGTAAAACAAATTAATTTATATTAAATAAACATAAGCAACAACAGTTTACATGGCGAACTTAGCTCAGTGGGTCAGTCAGTGCTGGCTATGGCGGCTGGGGTCGTTGGATCGAATCCCAGTTGAAGAAGTCTGATGAAGAGATGTGATGATCTCCGAAATAGCTATAACTTCTACCAAAAATGTAAATTATGTTTTTTTTTCTATAAAAATTTTCATTAAGAAACGGCTTCAAGCTCAATAAAAAAAATTGTTGGATACAAAAGGGCAACTATCGATTTTGAGGATCAAAAGAGGGATTATAAAGGTAGCCGGCACTGTATATACATGTCCACATAAATTTTGATTTTTATTCAAATTGATTCTTCGCAAACTATATTTTAAATCGTGATGTGTATAAGTTGAACTCTTCTTATCCTACAGTCATATCGATTTATGAAGAAAGCTGTTATCACCAATCATTTAGAAACAATCAATAAGTCTCTGGACGAAGAATTCGAGACCATCATTGAACAGTGGACATCGGCGGAAAGTTATGAAAGTTTCAAAAAGTATTTGGAGAGTGGTCACTTTTAAAATGGTTATGTTTTTACAACGCAATAATTTCTTTATTAATTTGAACTACAAAATTTTATAATACATATATTTTACAAACACAGTGGATTGGCCTATAATTTAAATTACTGTGTATTAACTAAGAATATTTTTTCAGTAGTATGTACATACGTAAAAGTATGTACTCGGATTACATACAAATAAATAAAAATAGGTGTTAATGATTCCCGACATACCGAAGAGCGTTTAGTACATGCTTTGGTAGAAAAGGAAAATTTTTAATTACATATTAATTAGGACATTCGTCAAAAGTATATGAGTATATGAGTCAGAATTTCTGAAACGGGCCACTTCAATTATGTGATATTTTATTTCCAATCAGCAGTGGTATTTTTTCATAGCTATTGACAATGCTAACTTTGATTTTACAAAACAAAATTAAAAATTTCTTATCTATAATATTCAGAAACAAACTCATTAGGATGAAAATCTTTGCACATATTGCGGAACATTTTCTGCGTCAATACGTTTGTACGAAACTCTATGTGGAGGATATTTATTTTATCTTCAAATACAATAAACGAGTTCCTTTGTTTTCTAAATATTATAGATATTTGTTCAATAAATGAATTGAAAAACTATTATTTTAACCGACTTTACAAAAAGGAGAAGGTTATGAATTCGTCGGAATATTTTTTTTTATATACATATGTTACCGCATAACTTTGGACCGCGTTAACCGATTTCTATAATTCTTTTTTTTTTTTGTTAAGGAAAGTTGTTGCCTCACAGGTGTTCCCATGCTAATTTGGTTTAAATCCGATCATTGCATCATGAAGATATTAACGATTATTTAAAATTTTTATTTAAGAATTGAGGTCGTTTTTTTTGCTTAAAAATTACTTGTTTACTTAAATCTACCTCTGTTCATTTTTAACTCTGTCACATGAAAACAAATAAACCGGTGAGGGAACGCTGGTTTCCGACGCATAAAATAAGTCCGAACGCGCTCGTTGAATTGCGCGTCAGCCTTCAACTAAAAATAACGGCTTTGAACGTTGCGATCCTTTTTTTTCTCAACAGAATTTTAAAGAGAGTAAAATTTTGCATATGTGGTTTTTTGCTGTGTTATTTTTATATTTTTACCAACAATTTTATAAAAATGTACACTTAAAAATTATTTTTAAATAAATAAAACCTATGTTCTTGAAGAGTTTTTAATAACAATGAAAATGAGGGTTGAATTGTCAAAATCGGTCAATTAGATCGTCTGTAATTGAATTTTGAAGTAAAATAGACAAAAAAAAACACTTGTCGATATATAAGAAATTTTTTTTTTTGTAAAATCAAAGTTAGACACAAGGCGAATATATATAAGGTGCTATCGATTCAACAAATACAACAATTACTTGTATTTTGTTTTTGCTTTTAGCGGGCCATTGTCAAATTTCCGCTATTCTTCTCCGAATGAAAAAGGGCGACAGAAAATGCAAACATTCTCTCGTTTTTACTCACTCACTAGCAAAATATAAAATTTTGACAATCAAACGCTACTCACAGCTGATGAAACAACACCACCTTATATAAATTCGCCTTGGTTAGACATTTGTTTGCATTGTCAATAGCTATGAAAAAATACCACTGCTGATTGGAAATAAAATATCACACAATTGAAGTGGCCCGTTTCAGAAATTCTGACCCATATACTACATATTACAGGTAAATGTATATACATATGTACAAACACTGTGTATGGGTGTATACATGTATATACTATGTTGTTTTTTTCTACAAAAATTAATGTATTTTCAAAAAATTAAGCCTGTTTAGTATATTATATATTTTTTTTTAAATACATATACAAACTTTCTCTTTACGTACATATCTACATAAAAAATATGTTGTAATAATTAGCCATTAAATAAAGTAAGCGATAGAATAACACACATTTTCCTGACAATCGGACCTACTCAACAGCGGAATATTCAACATATGATGTAAAGTTATCGTTATGTCATTCATATCGTGGAAAAGTATCTATCTGCATTTTGGGAGTAAATTGCAACCTTAAACGCATTTCCTTCGAAATTCCGGCGACAAGTTGCGATAGCAACTACGAAATTATTCGCCCTTTTATGTTTTTTTCTGGATTCTTCGTGTTTTGTTTTAAGCGAATTCGCCATGTTTATTTTTGAGTACTTTCGGTATCTTTCGGAATTTTCCCCACCCAAAAGTAGACAAATATTTTTACTTAAATAAAACACTAAAGTTTTATAGTTTTTCGTTGATTTGTCTTTAATTTTTACGAAGAGTTTTATATGTGCAATACATGTTTATTATTTTGCGAACGACTAATATACCCATATGTATGTATGTATGTACCAGTGTTTGCACTAATCGATTGATTTTTTTTATCAATTAGTTAATTCGATTAAATTCAATCCGATTACAGTTAATTATGATTAATTTTAATCTGATTAAACAGTTAATCGTAACTACGATTAAAAAAATAATTCTTAATCATTAACCCCTAATTTGATTAAGTAGGTTTGATGATTAATTAATTTATGCTGGAATTTCACTGTACACACAAGCTATTTGGTGTGCATTTTCATTAAGATCTATTTTAATAGACGCTAAGCAAACTAGGTTTTAATATCCCTCCGCACATGTGCGATGGGTTACAAAAATTCCCAATTTATGTACTACTAATAATAATAATTATAATTTTTTTTAAATATTATGCGTTTTTTATAAGCATGAAACACAAAAAAAAAATAACTTTAACCCGTGTTTGGTTTCAAATTCGGACAAACTAGACCATTTAATCAGATTTTTTTAATTGGATTAACGATTAATGATTAAAATTAATTAATCGTAATCACAACCGACGATTAACGAAAAAAAATGTAATTATTAATCGTACGGATGATTACGATTAATTAATTTTAATCGTTAATCGTGATTAACCTTTTAATCGTTAATTAGATTAACATTTTGTCAACACTGGTATGTACGTACATTCACGAGATTTAAGCATTTGAAATTTCGTTTTCTATTTCGCGAATATCGGTCTGAATGTTATGAATAATGTTTTCAAAATTTTGTATGTCTGCCGTTATTTGTTGTAAACTTGCCCTAACATTTTTTATTTTCTCACGATCAATTTGTACCTCTACCTCTCGTATTGTGTTAGTCACATTTCCTGTCTTTGCAACGATATCAACAAGTTCATTGCATGTGGTGTGCAACGAGGCCAAAAGCTTGTAGGCTTGTTTTGAGTGCATGTCGTGTTTGGCTGTCTGGAAAAGTAGATCATCTGTGTAACAAAACTGACGTTGTAATTGAGCGGATATAGAATTTAGTTGCTTTTGCAAGTCTCTCGTATCGTCCAGAACTTTGTAAATATCACTGCGCTGTTTCCGTATATTTGATATGAATTCGAGTATCCTTTGAATATATTCTTTTCGCGGTGCTGCCAGATCATTTTTTGATGCTCTTAATTCCGTGCTAAGCTCGTTGTGTTGTGCATTCCTTTGTTCCAAGTTTTGCTGCAACTGTGTAATTATTTCCCGATTTATTTTCAGATTTCGAGAATAGTTTAGTTGTTTGGATGACCTCAGTCGTTCAAGTGTATCCAACATCGGTTGGCGGTAGTCATGCCATTGATGATCTAAGTTTTTTCGACGTTCTACAGTGCTTCGTATGAGTGTTTCTAATTTACCAGTATTCTCTTTCGGATTGTCTAGAACGAGGCAAGTGCGTTCGTGAAGTTTAAGTTTTGCACAGACATTTTCTAGTTCCTTTTGAATGGCTCCTTGTTGATTTTTCATAGAATTTATATCACTTATTAATGTTTTTCGTTTTAATAGAAGTTCAACGTTTTGAACTTTGAACTTATTGACCTCATCTGTTAGTTTGATAAGAGGCGATGAGTCCACCATATCAGTTGAAACGTATCTTTCAGATTTGCATACATCTGAAGTTTGATAGTCGGCTATTTCTTTTGTTGAAAGCTTTATTTGTTCTCGGTT